ACTTCTGAATCACCTCACCAGAATATTAGGAGACTGACTGAACTGAAGTTTGCAAGGCTCTTTGCAGTCTCTGGCTTACCATGTGAGGCTGGAATGCCCTACATACATGCTAAATATTCCTATCATGCAAAGAAATAGGGACAGATTTATCACATACCATCTCTTTTCCTCTGGAACAAATGGCAGACAGAACACAAGTGGAGAATGAAGCAGTTACTTTAATGGTGCAGAAGAGCAAAACTAAAACACCCAGTAAAATCCGTGTCTCTGTAAACATGAGAACAGCACAACCCCTTCTCAGAAGTCTGTGACAAGCTGTTGTACTGAGGGCTGATGCTGGTGCTAGCAACTGCAGAATATTAATGAAGCCCTGGTCTGAACACGTTGATCGTGACTGACTGAAGTCTGCAGCACTTGGTATCAAGATACATTATTTGTCAGTCGTGTTTCCTCTTGGTTTGACCTTGCTGCTTTCTTGCTTGTGTGTTTCTTTCTCTCACCATTCCTTTCTCCTTTCTTCATTTCCTTCTTTCTTTTCTCCTTCTTCCCTTCCTCTCCCTTCATGTTTCTCTTTTTCATTCATTTGTTCTCATTTGCACAATTAAATTCTAGTGTGCTGAGATACCTATATAATAACAGTGTTGCATATCATATGTTTTTAAAGTATTCTCTTGCTCTCATTCTACTATTTCTTAGTAGGTAGACACATACAGTGCTTTAAGTTAGGGATGTTCTTGTTCGCTGCTTACATAACAGGGATTTATACAGAGGAACTAGAAGAAGCTTAGAATAAAATCCTTGTTCACAGACTAATTCAAGGTATGGAAAGACTGAGCAGCCTCTCTGTACCTGACAGAGAGAAGAGGGCTGATGGCTTCCCCAGGGACATGCTTCACTCACTGTTCCCTTGCTGCTTCTTCATGCAGACTGTCCCTCACCCACCACTTGCTTATAAAAGGGGATGAGCAGGTCTAACTGGTGAGCCATTAACACACAATGGAATTTGTGTGACTGCATGTCAGTTCTGTTGGTGACCTTTATTTACTCGAATGCAGCTTTCCCCCCCACCCCCCACCCCCCCCTTAGCACTGTGTTCTTCACATGCACATCATCACATTTGCCTGCTTTTACATTTTCTACTGCATATATCTTAATATCCTTCATAGCCCATAATAAGCTCTGAGAGTTCTGGAAAGACTTTTCTCTAGTCACTGCTTCAGTCCTCCTTCTTCTTTTTCTTCCTCTGTCAGAATTTGCACCTACTTATCTAAAATGCTGTTTCATTTTGGTTGCTAATGGATTTTGCGCTCATCTGTATACTTTTTATACTATCAAAATCTTACCAGTTAAGCTTAAGAGAAGAGCTGAGGATATTAATGTGCTAGACTGCTTCAGAAGAAGTTCCGTTTTGCGGATATTAAATTAAATTTTTACAGGAGAAAGCTGCATTACTTCCTGAGAAAGTCTGGGAAGTTTGAGACGTTGGACTTAATATTTCTGACAAAATGATTACTTTGCTTTTCTTGATGCAACTATGTATGTATTTATTTATGTATTTTCTTTTTACCTTTTAAAGTGAGTTAAAATTGGCTATCGTGATCATAAAGAAATATCGGGGAAACTATTATTAACTGCACTCTGTGGAATACACAGGAGGTGTAAGATACAACGATCCAGGCTCCTCTTTGTGACAGGGCATAGGGTAGCAGACAGTCATTCACTGTAGCAGTACTATTAGCTGGCAGTGCAGTGGGCTTTGCAGCATAGGCTGAGGCATAGGAAAGCTACTGCACCTTTGCTCTTTTCCCTGATGCCTCTTAGTTTACTCTGAAGCTTTCAAAGAGAGGAGCTGCTACCCTGACAAGGCAAATACAATGAGACATTTACAAAGAGGTGATACCTTAGAATCACATTATTATCTAGGCTGGAGAAGATCTTCAAGTCGAACCATCAGCCTGACCCACCAAATCCACCACTAAGCCAGGTCTCATAATTCCATGTACATTATGCCTTTCCAATGTTTGACTACCCTCTCCATGAAGAAATTTTCCCCAGGACCCAATCTCAACCTCTCCTGACACAATTTGTGTCTGTTTCCTTGCAAGCTACTTGACACCTGAGGGACAGGATCACCTCCTTTGACCTGCTGACCATGCTTCTTTTGATGCAGTTCAGGATATGGTCGGCTTTCTGGGCTGCAAAGGCACCTTGCTGGCTCATATCCAGCTTGCCACCCACCAGTACCCCCGTGTTGTTTCTGATGGTGCTATGCTCCAACCTTTCATCTTCCAGCTTGTACTGATAGCTGCAACCCAGGTACAAACCCTTACCTGTTGGCCACCCTATTTCTGATGTAGGCCAGGACACCGCAGACCTTCATCACCTTGGCATACTTCTGGCTTGTGTTCAGCTGTCTGCTGACCACTACTCCCAGGTCCATTTTTGCCAAGCACTTTTCTAGCCTCTCTTCCACAGGCCTACAGCACTGCATTGGATTGCTATAATGCTTGGGCACCACTGGAGTTCTTCTGACCAATGTACTGGCAGTGATTTTGCCAAACACTGGTGTGTTATTTTTAGGAAAAAGCATGCTGCCTCAATAAATTGGTTATCACTTTCCATTTTTATGAGGAGCAATTCCTTGATGTTGCACCATACTACTAGAATTTATAATAGAGATAGAAGTGCTGTTGTATGAAAATGAAATGTAAAAACAAATATCCTCAAATTTTGAAGTGTAAGAAAATAATAGTTAACTTTTTTTTTTTTCCCCAGGAAATAACTAAAAGTTTTCTCTGATGAGCAGTACAACAGCTTTCTGGGACAGAAAACTGCTATTCTAGGACATTCAGTTAGGTCATAGAAATAGGACTTTTCATGCCAATTTATGTGTTTGTTTCTTTTTCTTTTTCTTTTTCTTTTTCTTTTTCTTTTTCTTTTTCTTTTTCTTTTTCTTTTTCTTTCTTTTTTTTTTTTTCCCTGTGGAGGCAATCAATTACTATGCGTGCTCTAGTATATGATGGACTTCTTGAGATACTCTGCCTTCCAGTGGGTCCTCAGTCAGTAAACAGGTGTTTAACTACTTTGCCAAAATTAAATTTCAGCAACTGTGATTGTCTCTTCCAACTTCTAGTGGCAGGCCCAGGTTTTTCTTTCTGATTCATGACTAATATTAAGCTGAGACCAGGGTAACCAGAACCAAAGTACATGCCAGGGGTTCTTTCTGGACATGCGTATTAACAAAAACAACAACAACAACAAAAAGTTGTCTGTACAGAGCAGTAGATATCTATTGCTGTCAGCAGCAAATTTGTATGACATGATGCAGAAAACAAATTAGCTGGGATATTGCAGTCTTGCATAGAAGCCAGGTGTTTTAGTGGTTGATTAGGCCCTCTGGAGGTTGGCCAGTATGAAGGTGATGTCCACAACCAGCTGCAGTGAAGTGGAGAATCAGAATTAAAGAGCTTTCTATCACAGAGGTGACCTTATGATAGATAATTTGTAAAGGAACACTTTGCTAGTATGTGGCATTTACCCTGACAGCACTTTAGGTGCTATACTGGGAATTAATATAAGCTGACACAGTTGATTTTTTAGTTTTTGTTAGACTAATTATATCACTCCCAATGCTAATGCAGTTCACTGTGAGAAATTGGGATATGATGTAAGCGACACAGAATAAATCTCATGGAGACTCACTGGTAATCATAAGCATAACAAAAAACTTACATACTGTTATGATCCACAGCTTTCAGTACTGGTATGTTAGGAGACCATTCAAGAGTAATAAGTCATGCAAATGCCCAAGTAAGAAACATAGAAGAGGGTGGTATGTTCAGGACATGCAGCCTGTGTAGGTTGCATTACACAGATGAAAACACAGTGGACTCCAACTTTGTTTGGTAATAAAGGTGATTTAGACTGGAAACATCTCAGAACTACAAAATTAATTCTTGTTGCTACATGTTCTTTAGGAATATAATATCAAGATGATAATATATAATATCTATAGGAATAGATAATGAAGATGGTAATAAAAATATAAAATTAATTTCAGGCTTTAGGAGTTTTAAGTGTTTACCTATGATTTGTTAAACTCCCTGATTTGTTGTTGTTGTTGTTGATGCACCTCTAGGAACCTCTACAAAAAATCACTCTGGTGCTCTCTGTTATGGTAAACTTTAAATTAGAAAATAGCTGTGGAAAGTTTGTGATGTTATTAGTGAAAGACTTCCTGATGTCTTTAAATTTGTGAATACACAGCAAAAAAAGTACCATCAAGTTTGACTTTACCCCTGCAAGTAATATCAGCAGTTACTAATAAGCAGAATAAAATTTTAAAAACAGTACAGTATGACATTGTAATATTTTGTGTTTATTTTATGGCTACAGAAGGAATTTTAAGTCCTTTTTCAAAATACACTCAAAATGTTATCTTGAGTTAAGCAAGAAATATTAACAATGGTTAATGACTAGAAAATGAGAGCACATGATAAAGCATTCTGTTACACACTTGTTCATTGCTGTCATTGCTGATGATTTCGCTAAAGTACCTGCAAATGTTGCTAACAAAACAGCATTTAGGAATTATTTACTGTAACTTTTTTCCATTTCTTTCTATACAACATTGTTCAATTTTTTCTCTGTCGTACCTATTCTAAGTCCATATTGTAGATCAAAGAGATAAGCAAATTTACCTACACAAACACATCATTTTCCAAAAAAAAGAATAATTACAAACACAATTTCAATGACATATAGTTGCACACACTAAGTGGGATATTTCAAATATTCAAATACTCTTTTTTTTTCTTTTTTTCTTTTTTTTTTTAAAGAACAGATTTTTGCTACTGAAAACAGGTTTTTGTATTCTGTTGTTTGCATGTAAACTGGGAGTTGGTCTCTGCTTTGAGGATTCTGCAGATGATGGTAGAATACTGCAGTATGTTAAAAAAAGAAAAACTGTCTGAAACTTTGTTTCTTCTCTTCTTTTTCAGCCTAATTGGAGAAGAGGCAGAGACTAGAAATGCCACCAGCAATAGGAGCACCACAGTACCCACCTCCAGATGGAGGTTGGGGGTGGGTTGTGGTTTTTGGGGCCTTTATTTCCATTGGATTCTCCTATGCATTCCCCAAAGCCATCACAGTATTCTTCAAGGAAATACAGGAAATCTTCCATACATCATACAGTGAGATAGCTTGGATATCATCAATAATGTTGGCTGTCATGTACGCAGGAGGTAAGATGATTGTGAAATTTGCAAATATCACAGCTCACCTGCCCGCATGGTCTTAAAGCACTTAAAGTTAATTACTAACTGATTTTATAAGTTACCTAAGAATTTACCTAATGCTTTTTCTTTGATTGTTATGAGATAACTTGGAATATCTCAGACTTTGTAATAATGGAACTATGAAATCTTAAATGCATATATTATAAAAATATATGTACATATGTATAAAAATGTATAGAAACTGTATGTATAGAAACTGATAAGTTTATATAGAAAAGGAATATAGTTTAAAGTATATAGAAACTGGGAACACTGTGCCTATAGCACTGTATCTTTATTCACTGAAGAGCTGCACTTCTGTATTTTTCAGAAGTGGTTTCTGTTATAAAGTATGATATTATCAGATTCCAGCAAACAACCTTGTGAAGGATGCAGGAAGTCCTGTTTTCACCATGGTAATTTTTTATCACTGATTTCAACCTACCTAAGCCTTGACATTTGAGTAAGCATAGCTGCTTTAGCAGTCAAGGAATAGAGGTGTCTATAGGAGAGAATTCAGACTAGCTGCACTCTTTAAGTACCTTTTTTCTCCTCTGACTATGAAGAAGACTCTACAGCCATCATAGCATTAGCTGAAGCACCTCAGTTAAATATTTTTCAGTTAATGGAATGGAAAACATAATGTTTTTTTGTTTGTTTCGTTTTTTTTTTTTTTTTTTCAAATGGCAGCAGAAACAGAGACCTAATAAAGATGATTTGGCAAGTGGTGTCAATATCAATAAAAACTTGCTTTTCAGATATTTCGATCTTACATTTATTCATAGGGAGAATTTGAAGGAGTTTATAGGAGCAGCAACAATTCACCAAGCAAAGAAGTAACTTGAATCAGTGCCTTCAAGAGTGGAGTAAAGGAACATACATGTCCTTGCTATATGTTATGACTTATGACCAGATCAATCTCAAATCATAACTGGTGGTTATGGACACTGCAAGCCTGAAAATGTGTTTCACTCTGATAATGCGCCATTTTGTGTGCCCAAGCATGCTTGACTAGCACTGTGCACTCTGTCTGCAAACAGCCCAAAGGTGGTCAGTGTGCATGGTGCTGTGGAGATGGAGAGAGTGTCTCATTTAGATTCCCTCTGACAGTACTTTCTTCAGAAGGCTGTGTATTTACAAATACAAATGCTCTTGCACTTCAGAGTGCATAGATGTAACTGTGGAAGCCTCTGTGTGGATCCATCTGGAAGAATGGAAGTGCACAGATGATAAGAATTGGAATCTGCTTCCATTTTCCTTATTCTGTGACTTCTGAACTGAAGTCTTGTTCACTGCATTTTCTAATGCTACCTAAATTTTATAAGGGCAGATTTACTTTATAGCACAGGTTTTTTGTTGTTGTTTTAATCTCTGAATAACATCTAATTTATGCCATTTCTACCATCTCAAAGTTCACCCAACTTTTATTAATAGTGCAGACACAAACTGAAAGGCATTTAGCTGTGGTCATGTTTGTACATAGGCTGATCTGAGAGCAATGCCCCCTATTTTATTGTTTTCGTCCATGATATCAGAAGTGGATGTTGGTGGCTTGGTATCAGAGGGGCAGTCTCACAAAATGGCATCTGACATGAAAGTGCATATGAAGCAAAGATGTGTCACTGAATTCCTCCACACAGAAAAAAAGGCACCCACTGACATGCATTGACTCTTGCTGAACAGATATGGAGACTAAACTATGGATGTGAGCACAGTGAGGCAGTGATGGTGTGTTTCAGCAGTGGCAACAGTGACAGTGGGTCACCTCCACTGGTGCAGAATTTATAAGCATGGCATGCTTCTTCATTGCTGGCCAAAATGCATTGCTAATGGTGGTGACTGTTGACAAACAGTATTTTGTAGTTGAAAATTTGCTCTATCAAACAGTGTTATTGTGTTCTTTGCTGTAGATTCCATGGAATTTAATAGGAGGCATTACTTATTCTCACTGTGGTTTTGAAATGACGATTCTGGCGAGTATAAACACTCTTTGAAGCCATAGCTTCTCTAGAACCACTTCCTAAAAAATAGAGCATTTAGACAATCACTGGCAGAATATGAAATAGCAATTGGGAAAAACATTTCTGAAGGAAATCACTCCATTGTTTTTACTGTCTGAAGGTGGTTTGATTCCTTAGCATTTGATGTGCTGTAATGTGAAAGACGTGAAGACCACAAGTACAGTGTGTAGTGTTTACTAGGAAGTGTGATATGTCTGTGTGAACACTCTCTTCATCATACTATTAATTAAAGTAACTTGAAAACATCTAAGATCTGTCATTCTCATTAGAGCTTAGCATTCAACCTATTAATCATCACAGTGGGGTCAGTGAATAAGTTAAGAGTCTGTGCTGACACTCTTTGCTTTAGAGGCTGCAGCCTCTTGCTGTAATTAGCTGGCTTCTGTGTTTCAATAACAAGGTATTTACTTACCTTTCAATGCTTTAGGAAACAAACAAACAAACAAACAAACAAACACGAATACTAATAAACTAATAAATGGCAACCAGTAAGGAACTAAAAGAATGTTAATTATGTTTATCACTTACTTCATACTTAGAATACATGGCATTAAATTACAGCAGACCATCTGGCAATCCATATGGTCTCTTGCAGTCCTGGTTAATTCCTGCAAATAGGTCAAGCACAGCATTCACTCTGTTAGGAAAGCACTAAGCAGAGGTGACAAATCTGATAAATCTAGTCAATATGAAATTCTTTTCCCCTCTCAATCTAAGATAATAAGCAGTTCCATGCAGTTCTTGTTGGTTTTATTTATTTATTTATTCTCAAACATGCTCTTTTCCTCCCAGCTCTCGTCTCCTGGATGTTTGTTAGAGCTTACTAAAAAGCCTTCCCAAAATGCAAGATCCTGTAATACGATCAAGGTTACATGTAATAGATGGTCTTTGTGGTTCAGCCTGTGCTTGAAAGAAGTATCCTCTGGAGAAGAGCAATAGTTAAGTCTCCATGGCAACTCCTTCTTCTGCCTCTCTTGAGCAGGGACTGTCAATTGTATTAAATTAGGGGTGATAGCTTTGTGATGGACTTCTACACACAGGGGACTGTGACTGGGATGACCACACTTCTACTACAGGAGGACAGAATCTGGGATAAGACGGAATTAGTGGAGCTATCCTGACAGGATATTGTGTTTGTGTACACATATGAAAGCATATATATATATATATATATATATACATATATATATAATATGTATGCATGTATGTTTTCTTTAATATATCAACTATGTATGCATACTTAAAGAGTCATATGTGTGCTCTGATGCACACAAATATTAAGAAATTGAAGACCCAAAAGACCAAATATGCTTTACCTCTAGTTCTCACAATTCATTCTTCTCTTTATCAAAATTTCCATTTTTCCACTTTGCACAGCATTAACCAGCCAAAAGTGATTAGAATTTTTATTAGAGCTCTATCTGTTTCTAGAAAAAAAAAAAAAAAAAAAAAGTATTTGTTATTTTCAGTATAGGTTTGATGGGAAACCTTAGTGGTGGCCAGTAGAGCCATGTGACAGATATGTTGATTTCAGACACAGCTGACCTTGGGTTTTAGACTTCCTTGTGGAAGTCTAAAAACTGGAAAAAGCAGGTTACTTAATTGACTTAACTCTTTTTCTTGTCATTTAGCCAAGGGCAAATTTCACTTTGGTTGTTGTTGTTGTTTCTATTTTCAAAAATAACTTTTTAGATGTGACACTAGGTTATAGAGATAAGCTTGAAAACTGTTAATTCTTCTAAGCTGTGAAATGTGGGATTATCTTGCTGTTCTGAAGTTCAAAAAATAAATGTCCATTTAATTTCCAGATGACTTTTCCAAATAATAATTTTAAAAGCATTTTGAGAACAGCCTCAAAGAAAAATGCTTCAAGTTTGAGTAGTCAAGCAGAGTTTAAATAGCCACCATTTTTGTAAACATGCTTATAGTTAAAAAATACAACATCTAATTGATTCACAGAGCCACAGAATCACAGAATTGTAGGAGTTGGAAGTGACCTCTAGATATCATCGACTCCAAGTCCCCTGCTAAAGCCAGTTCCCTACAGTAGGTCACATAGGTGAGCATCCAGGCAGGGCTTGGATATCTCCAAGGAAAGAGACCATAACCTCTCTGAACAACCTCTCTTCTCTTTCTTTTCTTTTTCTTTTTCTTTTTC